CGCTATTATATATTCATTGGGTCATTTCAAAAATTACGTCATTTCCTTTTTTGTTTGATATTCTCTACATGGGAAAACAATTCTCTTCAAACATAAAAAGTAAATGACGTAAGTTGTCTGGCAAAATTGCATAGGACATGAAAGAACACCCAAAGCAGTTGTGTTTCGCCGAATATTTCTCTCAGAAAAACATTGCACCTACTGTTAATAATCGAGTCTTACTAAATAGTTATGGAGACGAGATAATGGATGTGAGCACGTTTAATGCGTTTCATCAGTGTCGAAAGCGATGTGCCTGGGAAAAGTGGGTCACCTTCGCTGGTGCAAGTTTTTACGAGCGCTGTTTGTTCGCCGCTGGTGAAAACACTTATCCATTTGTGGTGACTTTGTAGGTGGGGAAATCGTTCTATCCATCTTAGTTTACAGTATCACCTGTTGTATCCATGAAAATAATTAGATGGCATTACTTTCGGAACTTCGCACGTAGAAGCCATAGTGCCAATTTTACAGATGTTCTTTCTCTGATATGTGGATTAGTAACTGACATGCTTCAGACAAAATATCGTTATCAGTTTTAATTTTGCATTATTAAAGAAGTAGTCCAGATAATGACTTATCTCTTAATTGGCAGTCAACATCAAAGCTCATGGAGAGTAACTGTAATTGTCCATTATTAATGAAAATTGAGAATAGATTTTCGATATAAAAAAACCGATGTTGCGTTTATTTATTTAGAAAGAAATGTTAACAATACCAACCGTTTCTGGTATTAAATATGCAAAGACGTCTTTCTTGAAATACGCATGCATTGTCAAGAGGCTGAATATATCAAGGATGCGAATAAAAAAAATATCGGTGATATACATATATCTTTAGCGGTATATTTAACAACATTATAAGAGGAAATTTGGCAGAAAATTTTTTATGAAAGATTTGTCGTCATGCGTCTCCGTCAAATATTACTGGAGGCTTTTATTTATAAAACCGACAATCCTTTACTAAACTGAATTACTTTTAAAAGATCCTGAGTTTATAACGTATTATGCACACAAGGAGCTTAATCTAGAATGTGCGTGCGATGTAACGTTTAGCGTCTCGAAAAGAGAAATCGAGAAGCAAAGAAATACCATTAGGAAATGTATGAATCCATCTGTTATCCCCCTCCAGCTATGGGTTAATTAAGACAGAACGTGATCTGTAGATTTAGCTAGCAGCCAATCTAGGAGTTGGATAAATCTGAATTCAAAACCGGGCGGTTGTGGTTCTGGCAACTCCAAGCAGTACAAAGTCTACTTGCTAAAGAAGCTGCCTCAGCAACATCTGCTGGGACGAGGCTGTGGACATTTAATGAAGTCAAATAGCAAAACCTAATCTAATGCGTAATTCTTGGATTAAGTCGTCAAAGTTGTATCCCTACTGGGTTACATTGAATACATTTTATTAACATAATTTGCAATACATTTTTTGTATTTGTATTTATTCAGATACGAGGTTAGATTGTGACACAAAGTCGGTTTAATGTAAGGAGCTCGAGCGCGTACACCCGGGCTAGGAACAAAAATTGCTCGCAGCCCCCGCAACCGTCTGACAGAGCAGATATTAGTGAGGTGATGATACATATTTTTGTAGACTTAAAATTCTAAGCAAAGAAACTGAAATCAGCAAATCTTAAATTTATTTATTTTCATTTTAACAAAAAGCTAAAATACAAGAGAGCACAGACTGGGTGTCATGAATTTTGTACAAAAAATTTATGTAAGCAACCAACTTCCAAATATCAACCTTTATATTCAAATACAATTTTATTTATATTGAATCAATTATTATGTCTGCTGCCAGGAAGATGGTTCATTGTGTCGTGCTAGACTAATTCTCTCGTCAGAATCTATCATACACATTTATAAGTCCCTCCCCAGAGCCGGCACCTGTCAGTATAATTTTCCTCACTTGCGACTCTGACCTTTGACGGAGTCATCCCTGTGTGCACTCTGCCCAAAGACAGAGACGCAACTGAGAGATAAGTAAAGTGTTACAAACCACTTGAGAGAGAAAGAGAGAGTAATTTACACACTTGTATTTGTATTAAATTAATTATTTCACAAACCGCTGCTTTGTGGAATTGACTCCCAAGAGGATGCTTCCCGGATAACTAATATCTTAACCAGTTCATGTCTCATATCAGTGGTTGTCTTCCCTTTACATCCCCATGAAAAATGCCTCTTTATATATAACCCTCTACCTCAAGTGTCACTTAGACCCTTTACAGAGTAAAAAAATTAAATGTATTTTCAATATTTTCTATATAAGATATATTAGCATTGTCTCTGCATCGTAAAATGTATAGTCTTGTTTCATTTGTACACATTGAATTACTGTATATTCTCTAGTATAGCGTGAGTTGTTTTTATCTGTTTTTACATGCCCTCTCGGCTGGGGCTTCAGAATACGCCGATTGCACCACTGCAAGGTGGGGGGTAATGCCCCCCACCCACTCCCGCAATAAGGTATCCAGAGTATGACGATAAACTACATCTTGAAGCAAGGCCTCTGGTCAGGAACTTTTGAGGAGCGTGGAACAACCTCTTAATTGCTGGTGTTCCCATGTCCACCCATACTCAGGGTTGGTAGCACCTGTTAGGGTCCTAGCAAATAGTTAACCCCAAAACTGTAGTGAAAACCTATGTTTATACTTTCATACTATTTTTATACCAGCAGTAAATTTTTTGAAAAAAAATACCAGCAATAAAAAAACTTGTCGGCATTCAATAACCCATTGAGGTAAATATACCGTAAAACAAGACAAAACAAAACAAACATCAGTTTTCACAAAAGAAAATAAAAAGTCACACTGTTCACAGGTAATTTTTTTGGAAAAGGTTAAAAGTCATGCATTTTCGGTAACCTGTTGAAATATACACTGGTATTTTTTTAGAGAGATTCAAAATTCCTGCGGAAAAAATCTGGAGTCACACTATACATGAAGTCGGTTTATACAAGAGTATATACATGAAGTTGGTTTATACAAGAGTATATACGGTAAGCGTTAATGGTTCACGATGTATTTCCCTTTAATATACAATGCGATTCTCTAATAAAATAATTTGCAATAAAATTCGATAGTAAAACCATTAACCTTGAATTTAGCCTCGTCTTTAGCACCAAAGCCTCACCACGCTAAATGTTGCTACTGTAGATTCTGTAGCAACGAGATTTTTACAGGATGGAGGTGCAGCCCCACTCCCAAGAGATTTTGAATTTAGAGTTGAACTTTTTAGTGGTTGCTAACCTAGGCAAGAACGTCCAGCCTGCCCTGATATTTCATCCAGGACTGGAGGGAAAAAGGAACGGATTCCGAGCTTTCCTAAAGGTATTTCTCTGAAACAACGCAACGAACTTTTCCGGAATTTTTAGTCGTCCATTGGTTTTGTTTAATAGCATATCAGTCTTTATGGTTTATTTAATGCCCTACATCTAAATAATTTGAACACAGTATTTTTTTTTTTTTGCTGCAATTAATATATTTTTAACACAGTTGATAAAATGTATTGCTGGTTTATTTGCTTTAAAATATATTGTTGGGCATTTTGCTATATGTATTTTCGGTTTATTTTTATATAAAAATGTATTACTGGTATTTTTACGATAAATACGTATTTGTATACATTCATAGAGTTTTGATTTTGTTTGGGAGTTCACTATTCACCCATCCCATGTCAAAGTGACCCTGGGAACAACAGCTATTAAAATATGCTTCGGCACTCCGCAAAACTTCCAATCTCCCGATCAAAGGTCATGTTGGTGGAGGTAGTTCATCGTCATACCCAAGAATTTTCAGTTGTCACACCGATTTAAATTTCTGTACCGATAACCGTTACGCTATTCACACAATTAATTTCTACGATATGTTATTCTGTCGATGACTCTAGCATTATATCCTGACAACTATCAATTCATTTCTTTGTGATTCTCACTTCAAACACAGGCTACAGAGCTTAGTTTGTCCTTCTCTTTAACCCAGAGTTTGATCGTGGTGTCGTGCGAAAAGATATTTTATCCCCAAATTCCAAAATCATTGTTAAAAAATCATAAATAATCAACTTCAAGGCGTCATATTACTCAAGGGCCTTAATAATTACTCTGGAAACGATATTCAGATTTTTGCGGCAATATAATATATAATATAATATTCAACATATGGGAACACATGATTTGCCTTGTGTCGTCAAGGGAGATAAATGCGGCCCTTTCTATTTTCAAAGCAAGCTTCCTGATGTAAGCATTTTTCATGTTTGCGATCAGAACGTTTATAAATATTTAATTATCAATTTTCAAATTCATATTTAATGACTGCAAAAAGGACATTTTGAAATTGTCGTAAATTTATGCGGGTTTTCATTGTTTGTGCATGCATTTAATAATTGTTTGCAGAGATGTATTATTTATTTCGGTTAAAATCGTTTCGGAATATAAAATGCAGTTTTGAAGTGGCTTCTTCTGCATGATTAATTTGAATTTTAGAAAGCATTGTAACCCACAACTAAGAGATGAATCGCTGAAGCTTATTGTCTTGATTCATTCGGTGCATTCATGTGTTCGGCTCATTTGAGGAAAATTAGAAAAAAAAAGTGTTTCAGCTCATATTCAAATAATACTTGGATAGCAAATCACAGAATTTGACATGCCAAGTAGAAAAGGACACATTGAAAGAAGATGCATCAAAAACAATAAATGAACTTACGAAAATTTAAGGATAAAAGATTCATATTATATCAATGATACGTCTAAAGAAAAAAAATCAACTTCAAGGCTTCATATTACTGAAGGGCCTTTCACTTAATCATTACTCTGGAAACGATATTCAAATTCATGATAAGTGAGAACAGGTGAATTTGTATCTTTCCTAAGGGTATTTGAGTTTAAGGGAATATAACGGGAATTGGAACTCATTTCTCCGATTTCCAATTGCTGGTGATTATCCATTACACCACCCGCACATCAAAGCAACCAAGAATTCTCAAGTCATCACCCATCTAGGTACTAACCAAGCTCGACCATGCTTAACTTCGGTAATCGGTAAAGAACCGGTGTTTCAATGTGATATGACCAAAAACCCGTAATCATAATAGAAAGACCGATATTAATGTAATTGGTACACCTACTTTCCTGAAAAAAATATTTTATTAAAAATATTTTATTAGAACTAAATATAATACAACTAAATGTATTAAAAGTAAAATCTTTACTGTTTTTAAAACACGTATTGAAACTAGAAATGACGGTGATATGGCTTTTTAAATAAAATAACAGTTAAAAAAGACATAAAATAAGTGACATCCATTTTAGTAACACAGGCGCAGATCTTTGTTTTACTGTAAATAGTGTACTTTTAGGTTTTAAGGTTAACCTGTTAGTATTTTGCATTGCATAGTCTGCCAAAAAGATGGGGGATTATCTCTTTGCTTCTACAAATAGCATACTGAAATTGCTGTCAATCCTGTTTCATGGCCGTCACTGTTGCATATGCATATATATATATATATATATATATATATATATATATATATATATATATATGAAGTGCCATTTGATCCTCAGAGTATGTAAGAGTGTTATTGAGTTGGACAAGATGATGACTTTCTGTTATCGTTTTTGACATGATTTCGCCAGGAAGTGTTTCCCTCGAGTCAATCAGTCTTTATGTTTAAGATAATAACTTTTCAATGGAAGTACTTCGGTATTTTGTTTGATAAATAGTTTAGTGGTTTAGCTGAAAGCAGTCTAGTGATTTGGTTGAAAATAGTTCGGTGTTTTGATTAAAGGTAGTTCATTGGTTTGGTTAAAAGTAGTTCCATGATTTAGTTAAAAATATCTCAGCGATTTAGTTAAAAGTAGTTACGTGTTTTAATTAAAATTACTTCAATGATTTAGTTAAAAGTTGTTCAGTGATGTACTTATAAGTAGTTCAGTAGTTTAGTTGAAAGTAGTCCAGTGATTTGGTTGTTAAATGATTTGGTTAAATGCGGTTCTGTGATTTAGTTAATATTACTTCAGCCATTTAATTAAAAGATATTTAATGGATTTTTTATTAACTATTTCACCTGAAGCAAGGCGATAATGTCACTAGGACGCATGTGGTTACAGGAAATGCAAGAGAATTAGGAGATGTTAAGAGGAAGAACAATAAAAGGACAGGTTTCAGGAAGACAGAAGATGATGATTGGCGTTACATACAAGTTTTGCAGATTGTAGGTGATAGTGAAGCAAAAAAACCGGAAGGAAGGTCCACGATGCAAAAAAGGAACTATTAGAATGGAACATAAGATTGCATCTAGAGATTCCAACAGTAAAACGTTGAGACATAATTGCTAATCAAGTATCACGCTTAAATTCATACAGTCTAGGCTCCAAGAAGGAATGCTAATCAGAAAATTCTTGTAGAAAAGACAGAGGGGAAACCACAACACATCGGTGAGAAAGTGACTGAAGTCGAGATGCCAGCCTTAAATTTTATCGAGAGAGTCGAGATAAATAACAGGAGCAACAGACCAGATATGGCAGCATTCTTCCATGCACAAATGAATGGTATATTTATAAATGTGACAAGATAAACTCTAACGTGAAAAATGTTCTGGTACGACACAGTGAACCAACTTTCCTAAGAGAAGACTTAGCAATTGTTTTAATAGAGTCCCTCAACATCTTAGTTGAAAACATGAGGCGAAGAAGGTGCACAGTGTTGCTCTACTTGAGGTTAAAATCAGCCATACTAATTCTCAGTTCTCTATAGTGATTAAAGAAAGTGGTTTTGCTTTGGAGGCGTTAAAATTTACACGCTATCCCCAAGGTTAGCCACTGTTTGTAAGGCCTTTTCGAACCGACTTGCTAGTTTTAAATTGTTGAACTTGTCGGGATTCAGTATTTACATTAGTCGGACTATTGTCCTCATCTTTGTCGCCATATTTGTCACAACGTTTCGGCCGTTGTACACTCCGGCCTTCTTCAGGTGGTTGGAATTTCGAACTGAACCCTTTATTTCGATCTAGTGTTCTAGTTCCACGTTTTGATGGATGTTAGTTAAATATCAGTTAAATCCTGCTAATTTTCCCTCTGAAAGTTCTCCACTTAACCAGGTATTGAACTCACCTTCTTTGGGTCTGTCACTGGATCTAACCAACGCCTTTATCCACTGCGCCATGTGTCCTTGAGATATGGGTATGAACTTCTGAGTATTATAAACCTAATGTTTTCAGCATCATTTTTACCAGTGCTCATATTGCAATTTTGCTGTTATCATTGCATGTCTTTACCAGAGTTCATATTGAAACTTTGTTATCATTGCTTTTCTCTGACACTCCTTATTACTGGTTCCCATATTGTATTTATTTCTATGCTTGGTCGGCTCAGGAGATTTTTGTGGCCTAGCATTGTCGAGATTCGTAAGCTAGAATCAAATAGTTGTGTCATCTGCATAAATAATTAGTTGGAAACTAATGACATCTGAAAGTTGTTTGAAAGGGTTAAAAAAACACAGGTCCAAGGTTAAGGCCGTGGTATGGAGCTGCATTAATATGAAATGATCTCGAAGCGTGTCCGTTCAACACGAGCTTTATTACACATTTCGTTAGATACCATTGCGTTAAACCAAATATTCGTCCAGAGTTACCATTGCCCTTGAACTTATGGAGAAGACCAGCATGCCAAACTCTGTCGAATACCTTCGAGATAACTAGAGACACAGCCTGAGCTTCACTGTTCTTATCTAAAACTCGAAAAAACAAATTCTGCTAGTGGTAACAGAAGAGAAGTAGAAGCCATATTGTTTATCCGAAAGGGAGCCGTGTGAAATAAGATACTTTACCAATCCACTTTGATTAGAGGCTATAGTATTTTACCAAAAAGAAGACAAATAGGGCGATAATTTCGATATGTATAGACCGATATGTCCGTCTATATGGCAGCAAATGCTGGACAGTCTCTTCAAAAATGTAGAAGAGACTTTAAACAACAGAAATGTGGTCCTACAGAAGGATGCCAAAGATATCATTGGCCGAACATTTGAGCAACGACGAGGTTGTAGAGAAAATATAAACAAAAAGGAAACTTATACATAACATCAGGAAGAGGCATTTGAAATTTCCGGGTGCTTAGAAAATCTGATACGCACAGGGCAGATAGAGGGGAAAGAGAAACATAGGAAAGCAGCGTGTAACATGTGGAGCATCATGATCGCCTACGTCCTGAAGTGACACAGCACATAAAAGAATTATGCACCGGTGCCAGTTCGAGTAGAGTTAATTGCGTTACTGCTGTTAGTTAAAAAAAGCAATGACAAATAAAATTTTCATGGGTCATCATATTCAATAGAGGTGAATGGAATTGGAAAAAATTTCAACAGGGCGGCATGTTCATGTGTTTTCATATAAATATTAAGTGATTAACAAAAAAGAGAAAATACACTACTACGTATACAAATATAGCTTATAAGATAAAAGACATTAAAATTCAGTAAATGTGGTTGAGATACACGCGCGTGCACGGGCTTGTGTATGTTTTTATGTGTGTGTATGTGTGTGCGTGAAAAGTTCAGTCACTCAGGGTAAATATTTTCACATGCTGGGAACAAATCCAGTGTTGGTGTTACTTCTCTCACATGCTGAAAGGAGAAGTGAAAAAAAAAGAAGAAGACAGGAAGTGTCCCGTTTTTATAGCTTTTTAACAGCGGCACGAATTGGCGGTATAGGGAAATTGCCAAAGCCATGTGGGGGGAAGTCACAATAGTAATTGCTTCTTAAAGGATTCTCCATTATAGATATTGAACAGGGTCATCACTGCTTAATTTCAGTGATCTCTGCTTTCAGCATAACTTACAGTACGGTTTATCAGTAAAATGATGTTTGGAAGTTAAATTATATTTTGTACACAGGATATGACGATAATAAAATTATCAATCAAGGGATTCCGATTTTCCATCTCAGGCGTTTGATTTTTAATAATTGTTCACTCAGTACAAAGATCAAGAACCACTGAATAAAGCTGTTGGATGAACATAGGTGGAGGAGGTAAGAATTACAGATTATGACGATATGCAGCAATGATGCCGTTTGGCCCGCGAAATGAAAAGTATAATATATATATATATATATATATATATATATATATATATATATATATATAGCTAAGAATTTTATGTGTCCATTAATTGTCTGTCCTGTATATTAGCATCAGTTAGGCACCGTCTGTAAAAAAACAAGACGACAATGACACAACTGACTCCCCCAGAAATTTGGAAACGGCATGCGCCAGAAACTCTAATACGAACATTTCAGAATGTTTGGGTCTTAACCTGAGGATAGTGTAGAGCATTCGGAAAGAGTTGGATAATGGTGATCACAAAGATACGGCAACTCGGAAAAGTTACTGTGATCGTTCTGATAAGAAAATCACTCTTGAATTTGTCTGCGAGGGTCTCAAACTCAACACTTGATGAGGTAGTGCTGCCCTGGGTCAAGAGAGTAGGTGCTGGAAAACCCTATGTCTGGCTACAGGATTCTGCACACAAGCACCATGCCACACAATCAGGAGAATCCAGTCATGGCTGTGATACAAATGCTGCGATTACATCACCCTTTATATCTGGCCACCTAACTCCAAAGATGAATTGAACGCAAGGTTTATAGCAACATTCACCAACTTAATCAAGGAAACCATCCAGAAGAGTTGCAGGAGATTCCGAAGTCGTCTGGAGGACGTGGCAGAAGCCAATGACAATTATATTAAATAAATTTACTGTTTAAGATATTTTTTGTGTAATTTTAGTAAATATATCTCTTAAAATGAGATGTTAGTGTTATTCTCATTTTTTTTTTTTCATAATTTAGACGACAATTTATCCATCGCATCCTGTAAATTTCTAAAACGATGGTACACTCGTGGCAAATTAAAAATGAAATATCATAACAAAAACCTTTTGGAGCACTTCGACGTGATTTAATTGTTGGCAAGCTTGTCTCACTAGATCTGTTACGGCTGAATAATGAGTTCGATACTTACTGGGTGCTCCATATTTTCGACTTTGTGCCACATCTAAGCTACGCTTAAAAATCAC